GTCTTCCTTTTTCAAATGCTTACTATGTACTTATATATTTGATCTGAGGGGTTGACTAATCATGATACATTGAGATCCATTCAACAAATCACCATTTTCTTTTCAATGTGGACATCTCACAACAATGAAAGCACATGACAAAAATTACATTGTTCTTAAACTTCAATATGTTGGCCAATCAGACACATGATAGTGCATATTATAAGTACTTTACATGTTACATTTCCTCCTGAATCTAATATAAAGAATGTCACATATGTTGCAGTGATGACATTCTAGAGAACTGAAATAATCTTTTAATGTTAAAAAAAGAAATAATAGCTAAAATAAAACCAACAATGAAACAATGTTTTCACAAGTCTCAATTGTACAATGTCAGACTGCCATGTTTAAATGCACTGACTCACTGACCAGAAGCTCTTCTTTCTTGGATGGAAAAGCACCTACTTACTGCAGATGAAAAGACATATTGACATTTATGTGGAACATGCATGTCTTTCACTGCTCTTACAAGTGGAATCATGGTCACTCAACCCCCACATATTTCCTTTGCTTTTAAAAATCAAGGCTGAATGTTCAGAGATGTACTCCAGTGAATGTGGTGTGTGTCCTTCAATTCACACACTGATTGATGTGCACTTGATTTAAACCCTTTTTTCCTTCTTTCTGAAGTCCTCTGCCATCGTTGATAACAAGCTCTTGCAAAATCGCCCCTTTCACTTTTCAACAAAATGATAGGTCAGGCGCTTAACAGGGTGTAATTACGTGATGATTTCCCTCATCCACATGTTCCATCAGAAACTCAAAGCTGGACGTCTACTGTAAATGCCCAGGAGTTCTCTATACATACTTGTCTTTTCTATCGGACCCTTTGTGCTCCTCCAGAATGGAACTTGTAATTGTGTGCCGCTTCTTTTCCAGGCACCAGCACTTTCCCTGCAACAGCTGGATAGTGACAGTGCACACAAAGACCCAGCAAACATGATCAAAAACACACACATACAGTGTACACCAATATGTATGCATATATGTGTGCGGGCATGCATGTGTACACAGAGAATCCTAATTTTCTACTTACAAAAGCTCTGGATTCTCTGGGGCTTATAAAGGCTTGTTGAGTTTTTGTTTGGCTTCTTTAGAATGTCTTCTACCTGCTTGGATTTACTTTTAAACTCCAAAATAACAGATCTGCGGTGTATGCAGGCTTCCATGCAAGCTTCTTTTCTTTTGGCGATATGGGCAGAAGGTGGGGCATGCAGCTGTGTCAATAGGCTACCAGGCAATCCAAAAGCAGCATTATAGCCCTGTAAAGTGCCTTTTATGTTGGCCTCCTGGCTAAAAGACAGGCCTGTTTACACTTTGCTCTTTGTAAAAAGTCTTACACCTGTGTTTGGGGGAGGGGGCGTGTACAGCTGGGTGTGAAGGTGTGTGCACTTACCTGTTGAGAGATGAGCAGCACCTGTTGCATTAATGGACTCCGTGAACTTGGACGTTCTCTTGGAAGTTTAATGTTTGGCACAAGTAATTAACTGTTAAAGTGATGATGGGGGAAAAGAAGTAGAAAATAAATCTAATCTGGTAATGTTTGCCTTATACTGTATGTTGAACAAAGGTCAGTTTTTTTAACATTTTATTTACAACTTTTTATATTTCAAACTATATTTAGTAAAGTTTGAACTGTTCAGATTATTTTCACTGAAATGTTTGCTCAGCCTAAATAGAGAACTATTTACTTACTTACTAGTTTTTTTCACATGCAAGCTGCGATTTATACATTGGATCATTTCTTTGGCAGAAATGGACCAGATTCAGTGATATAAAAAGAAAGGCAATGAATAAATTGAAAAATACTAGCTGGAACAAATTCTCTATGAAGAAATAGTCCCAGTGAAAACAGCGCTGAAAAAACTGAAACGTTGTAGTCGACCTAGTAGGTTGAAAGCAATAATAATACGTTTACATACTAAATATTAGGTTCAACTTAATATAATTGTGCTCAACTAACCTATTACAGTTAATTGAAATCTGTTGACATTATACATTTAACTAAAGTCTACGTTTCAGCTTTATTGGATAATCCAGAATAACAAAACCCTTCTTTGCTCTTTGAAAAAAAAAGAAGAAGCGCTACTATTATGTGCGCTTAGATCTGTTTAATTGAGCATACCAAGAATAAAGAATAACGAAAAGCAGACATATTACATGTTAAAACCTTAAGACATCATAATCTGAATTTAACGCTGACACTACTCATTAAAAAGCAAGTGAAACAAGTTAATAGCAATAGCAAATAAATGTCCTGGCACCAGATCCAGCCATTGTGTTGGAACAGTCCAAATCCAGCTGGCCCAGCAGCTTGCCACAGAATTCATTTCATGCTACATCTCATGGCCTAAAGAGCCAGGACTGAAAAGGATGCGGTGATAATTGTGCTGCTGAATTTGGCGTGAACAAAACATATTTTTTACAAGGAGAGGGTGGAGATGGGGGTCAGGGAAGCATGCTGATGCATCCATAACACACACACATTCAATACAAATTCATCTCAGAGACCTTTAATCAACAGTGCAACCTAATGAGAGCATTCTACTAATTATATCAATTTGGCCGACATATTTACCCAGCGCAACAAACATTGGGAGCTATTCTGGGGTTCATTGTCTTGCCGAAGTATGTTTGGACATGACTGGGGAATTAAAGCACCAGATCCTTATATTAACTCAACATGATACCTCCTAGGATCTCAGAAAACGTAACCGGATACAGACTATTTCTTAATGCTCTTAATGTCCTTCATTTTTGTAAAGCACTTTGAATTGCCTTGTGTTGAAAGGTGCTATATAAATAAACTTGCCTTGTCTTGCATGGATGATAGCAATTATTGAATCTGTGGATCCTTACCATATTATCCACACAAATGGTCACCCAAATTACACACAGATAAACAAACACTATGCTCTCTTACCTATAGTTTATAACTAATGGACAAACAAACAAAATAATCCCCAGAGTTGTCTGTTAGTTTTGATAGTCCATCCATCCATCCTTCTTCTCCCGCTTATCCGTGGTCGGGTCGCGGAGGTAGCAGTTCCAGCAGAGAGCCCCAAACTTTCTTTTCCCTTGCCACATCAACCAGCTCTGACTGGGGGATCCCAAGGCGCTCCCAGGCCAGCGAAGAGATATAATCCCTCCACCTGGTCCTAGGTCTACTCCTTGGTCTCTTCCCAGCTGGACGTGCCTGGAACACCTCCCTAGGGAGGCGCCCAGGTGGCATCCTAACTAGGTGCCCGAACCACCTCAACTGGCTCCTTTCGACGCGAAGGAGGAGCGGTTCAACTCTGAGTCCCTCCCGGATGACCGAACTTCTCACCTTATCCCTAAGGGAGACGCCAGCCAACCTGCGGAGAAAACCCATCTCGGCCGCTTGTACCCGCAATCTCGTTCTTTCGGTCATGACCCATCCTTCATGACCATAGGTGAGGGTAGGAACGAAAATGGCCCGGTAGACAGAGAGCTTAGCCTTCTGGCTCAGCTCGAGAACAAGACCCCGAGATACTTGAACTCCTTCACTTGGGGTAAGGACTCATTCCCTACTTGGAGTGGACAGTCCATCGGTTTCCTGCTGAGAACCATGGCCTCAGATTTGGAGGTGCTGATCCTCATCCCAGCCGCTTCACACTCGGTTGCGAACCGATCCAGTGAGTGCTGAAGGTCGCAGACCGATGAAGCGATTAGAACCACATCATCTGCAAAAAGCAGTGGTGCAATCCTTAGTCCACCGAACTGCAGACCCCCTCCCCCACGACTACGCCTCGAAATCCGATCCATGTATATTACAAACAGGATTGGTGACAAAGCGCAGCCTTGGCGGAGGCCAACCCTCACCGGAAATGGGTCCGACTTACTGCCGAGGACCCGGACACAGCTCTCGCTTTGGGAGTACAGAGATTGGATGGCCCTGAGTAGAGACCCCCTCACCCCATACTCCCGCAGCACTTCCCACAGTAACTCCCTGGGAACCCGGTCATACGCCTTCTCCAAGTCTACAAAACACATGTAGACTGAATGAGCGTACTCCCAGGCCCCCTCCAGGATCCTTGCGGGAGTAAAAAGCTGATCCGTCGTTCCACGACCAGGACGGAATCCGCATTGTTCCTCCTCAATCTGAGGTTCGACAATCGGCCTAACCCTCCTTTCGAGT